CCCCCCTGCTCTCTGCCCCCTGACCGCCCCCAAGGCCCTCCTCCCCTAACCTGCCCCCCCGCCACTCCCATCCAACCCCCCCTCCTTCCTGACTGCCCCCCCCCCGGGACCCCTACCCCCATTCAACCCACCTGTTCCCCGCCCTCTGACTGCCCCAACCCCTATCCACACCCCCGCCTCCTGATCACCACCCCAAACTCTCCTGCCCTCTTACTGTACTGCCTGGAACACTGGTGGCTGGCAGTGCAGTGAGCTGAGCTGAGGCTGCAGGGGAGGGGGAACAGCAGGGGAGGGGCCAGGGGCTAGCCTCCTGGGCCAGGAGCTCAGAGGCCAGGCAGGAGGGTCCCGCGGGCCGGATGGGGCCCACGGGCCGTAGTTTGCCCACCTCTGCTATAGGCCTATTCCCATTTCCACCAGCAGAGGATATGGCTCTCTGGGTGCTTTATCTGACGATAAAGATCACAGGACTGTGTTTTATCATAGCGAGCGTTTTTCAGAAAAAAATCTTTATCCGCTCCTTTGGAAGACAAGTTTCTTAAAGTCAAAGACAAGTTTCATTTCCAAAAACCAGAGTGAAAGCTCCTGGGTAGTTAAAGAAGCACGTACCTTTGAACACTGTTTATGATTCTGGCACCAAACAAGGGAGCCATTGTTCTGCAAAAGAAAAAATATATATATATATATATTAATATTAAATATGTCATTAAAAATTGCCCAGATCATGCCATCAGTTTTTAGGCTGAACGTCTCTTCTAATTCTGTTTGGAAACTGATGTTACAATACAAGCCCAGTATCAGTAACAATCCTGACAATTGTTTAGTTGTTATTGGGTGAGGTCCTCATCCCTGCCTTGGCCCCTTTACATTGGGTAAAAGGCCTAGCATGGCATAAAGGTCCCTTAAAAGCCCTGGTTACAACTGGGAGAGAGTTCCCCCAGCATAGGCAAAGAGGAACCCAGCCATAAGGCTGCCTTCTGAGGATCCCCCCACCCAGCACTGATTGTAGAGGCATGCTGAGGGGCAGAACTGAGAACAGGAGGAATGTGTCAGAGCACATCAGGCAGCACTGTGGAGATTCTAGGCAGTGCTACAGCTGACGGGGGAGGCTGGTGTAACTCTGACAAGCTCTTAGGGCATCTAAGTTACAACAAGGGTCTCTACAGCCCCCAAAGTAGCTCAGGATTAATAAGATGTAAAGGTGGATTAAAACCACTATCGTCCTTCCTCCCCCTGGGGTGCAAGTTTACCTAAAATTCCAAAATCTCATCTATTATTTTTCACCTACTCTGTATAGTGGGGTCTGTGGATAAAAGCACAGGAAAGAAAATCATTTTGTCCATTTTTTCCCCTTAAAGCAGACACGAAGGCCTTGATACAGCAAAAGCATTTAAAACACGTGGTTAACTTTAAACACATGAATAGTTTCAGACATCAACAGGACAACTTGCATGTTTAAAGCTAAGCACATGCTTAAGCGCTTTGCTTGGCTAGGACTTGAATTATAAACATTGATTTCCACATTTCTGTGATTAAAAATAGAGAGAGGATGGTGGTAGGACGCAGTACATACCCTTTCTGAATTTGGACCTGCATATTGGACCTGATCCAAAGCCCACTGAAGTCACGTTAAGTGTGTCCATTGATTTCTACGGGCTTTGGATCAGCCCATTATGAAGTACAGGGACAGATATTTAAAACACTGAATTAACAAGAATTACACTTCTACTTTACAAGCTCAATTAATGCAATTAAAATTATGTACATGCTTGTTGGAGATGAATATGGTAGAAGAGAGGACCTGCATCTGTAGGTCAGGAAATTCCACTTAGTTCCAGTAATGAATTTTAGTTTTGTTTATTTTTATATGGCAGAATAGATGTTTTTAGCATCACAGCTATTTGCTAGAATATCTAAAAAGATGATATATATAAAGATGAGCAACTGGTACTCCACTTATCCAAAGCTCATTTTAGTAGCAGTCTTAAAAGGTTCTTGATTCATATAATTTGATTTCAGTATTTTATGTGCATTTGCCTTTTCATCTTCACAATTATCTACTATAAAACCACTGCTTCATACATACAATCTCATATTTAGCTGTGATTATTTTAGAATTTTACTAGCTACAATGTTTATAGACACAAGAATAATTAAATATAAATATAAAAACAGAAGTCATGCACAACCCCTTAAAAAGATATAAATAGTTGAAATAAAACTTTAGGATCTCTATAAAGAACACACACAAGTGGGAATGCTTTAGTATTATCCTCAATGTCGCTCTAGAATGTATTGATTCCCTTTTCAAATCTAGCCAGTGGAAATGTTAAAGCAATATTTTACATGCTACTTTCATTTTCTTACTTCTTCACGTAAAAAAGTAATAGAAAAAGCAATGATTGCAATAACAGATTAGTAGCAATTTATTGTTTTATTTCCTAGTCAGGCAGCCCCTTCTACTGAAACAAAAAAAGCATTCTTGTTTTTTAATTATATCTGATACTTGGAACAATACCTCAACAAATATCCAGATGGATGGCTTTCCTTCTTTTTAATGTTTTACAGCTACAAACATTTGCATTTTCCTACTGTAAACTAGTATGTGTTCAATTAAAAAAAAATTCTAAGTTCAGAGCCACATAAAACCATCACTTAGCAGAGTCAGCTGCATACAAACTAATATGCACTGAACGTTATGCTGTATTTTATAAGGTGAAAGAGCAAATTTTCAGTGCTTTACTTGAACAATATGGAAACTAACATTTTAAACCCTGATTCCTTTCCCTTTGCAAATGACTAATACAATTAGCATTTACATTCAAGAAGTGTACTTGACCTGTAAACTTAAGGCCAGATTGCCTTTGAAAATTTCCTTCTGAATTTTAAAACAAATGAACCAAAAATTCAAATGCAAGTGATTAGAAAGTGAAAGATGACAAAGCCATTTGCCTTGGAAATATTACAAGTACATAATTCAAGCTTTTGATGAAAACATGAAAAACAAATATTTATAAAGAAACTGACAAAGGTATTTAGATGCTTTGCTTCTGACAGGTGTGCATGCACACTGCACTATCGAGTTGCCCAGCCAGTAACATCATTGGGCATGATCCTGCAAGATGCAAAGCACAGGGGTTCTGTGCCTTCCACTCCATAGTAAACGGAAACAGAGGGAATCCAGCAGTGTACAGAAAGTTCTTAGCACCTTGCCGGATCAGAGGACTTGTAAGCATGCAAAGCACTGAAAGGTTCAAGAACCTTGTTTATATCCATAGCCTGGAACAGGAAAGTACTTTTAATAAGTATTATCACAATATGCCTCCAAAGCAACTGGAAACTGCCAGGTATGGAGGCAAGCCACGACAAAAATAACTTCCCTCATTGGCATCTTATTCCATAATTTTCCATTATGAGGTTTCTTGAACCTTCTTTTGAAGTATCTGATACCTGACACTGCTAGAGATAAGAGGCTGGGCTAAATGAACCACTTGTCTGATCTGTTATGACAATCCCTATGTCCCTATTATCATTTTTGAAAGTCTGTTCCTTTCTGCAATCTTTGATTCACTTTTGATTGAAACTCCTATTCTTCAAAAGCTTCTTCTGTCAAAAATGAAAGCCCCATAAATGAAGAGAGAAGTGTAGAAATAAGTCCTTCATATGACAACCTGTCACCTGCATGAAACAGAGCTACTGAGTAGACAGACCAATAGCTGCTGCTAAGGCAAACATTAAGGGGATGGCATGAGTTTACAACACTAAAAATGCAGCTCATACCGGCATCTTATTCCCAACATTTTTCATTAACCTGTCAGCAATCTCTGCAGCCTAAACATTATATGCTGTGAAACAGTACTTTCTCCTAACTGATATAACACTCTCCCACCACTCACTCACTTACTAATTAACTGTGTTTATGGTGTTTGCATGTATATCTATATACCCAGCATAAATACATTAATGAGAATTTCTTATAGGGTCTTGGGGATTCCTTTTTACCTAACCAAAAATGACAGGCAATCCATCTTCAGGAACATGGAAATAAATCCATTTGAACAGGGAATAGCATTCTCCACATCCATTTAACTTTCTCTAATTTGCAGAAACTGGGATTCAAATTGCATAGGGAAGGAGTTAGCTATCTGTGTTTAATACAGGCCTGTGGTAAGTTTCCCCTTTTAGGCTCCTCCTCCTCCAGGTTCAACAAGCCTTGCACATGCACTTTATTAGCACATCACAGGCTCAGAATAGCTCATTAGCCTCCCCCTGCCCAGTGTGAGGGCGTGTCCCTTCACATACCCCTCCCCTCATGATGGGATGGCCGTTCACAGGGAAGGGGCGGTTGACTCCATCCCCGATCTCTTGTGACAAGAAATCAGCATTAGTGTGGTCTGGTGTTCTACTCCAAAACTATAGGGTTGTAATGCAAGATACTATCTCATTAAAAGAGGGTTCTTGTCCCTCATGGTCTGAATCCAGCGTACGGGTGGATTCAGATCAGTGATTAGGGAAAAGTGGCTACACAACAGGTAAAACCTGAAGGCATCTACCACCCATTTGATCGTTAATGCCTCCTTTTCAATGAATGAGTATGACTTATCTAGGGAATAGCTTCCTACTTAGGTATAGGACTGGGTGTTCTTCTCATCCAAAGTCCTGTGAGAGAACAGTGCTGAGACTGATATTCAAAGCATCTGTATGTAGTATGAATTTCCAGGAAAAATCAGGCTTGAAGAGCCCGGTTGCCTGGCATAGCCATGTTTTCAGTTCCCTGAACACTTCCTTGAACTTCCCATCCCAGTGGATCTTTTTAGGGTTGCTGCCTTCCTCAAATTCTCCCTGGTGAACATCCCTATGTTTCTAATTTTCTCCCTTAATTCAGATATATTGGGTCATACGTAAGGCACTAACATCTTGCTCTTCCCACCCTTCTCGTAGCAAGTCCAAAATGCCTCACAGTTGGCAGACATACAGCAACTCAAATAAGAAGAGCCCTGTAGAGGTTTGTGGGATCTCCCCAATGGCAAAAAGGTGGGGGCATACCACAGAGGCAAAACTCTCCACCTCTGCAGTGACAAACTCCCTTCCATATGTATGTGGAAGGGAACATGGGGCCCTAAGCAGGACTCCAGGATCTGGCCTTGTGGGTTTGGGTTTATTACATGACTTATTTAATTCAAAGTCGGCTCTTGTCATCCTTTGTTTCATCCATGTCATTGTATCAACTGAAAAGATTAAGTGATTTTCACTTTCGAAGAGGAAAGTGTTCATGAATCGTCAACAACATGCAGCTCCTCATTGATTTTCAGCTTAGTAGTAAGTATAATCATGTTTTACTGTATTTTGCCCCACTTAACTTAAAAACCTATTCAATTGCCCCCACATGACCTGCCCAAGAACATTTTGTGAAAATGGGAGTTTGATATGGATCAGTCGTTAGCAAATCTGTTAGGCTATGTCTACACAGCAATAAAACATTCATGGCTGGTCCTTGTCAACTGATGTGGGCTTATAAGGCTGCAAAATTATGGTGTAGATGTTCAGGCTCAGGCAGAGCCCGAACTCTGGGATCCTGTGAGGGAGGAGGCTCTACTCACAACCTGAACATCTACACTGCAATTTTTCAGCCTCATAGCTCAAGTCCAGCGAGCCTG